TCATTAGCTGTCCAACTGAGATGATCTCTCGCAAACTTTATTCTGGTTCTTAAATTTCTTGCAGATATAAGAGGTTTCTTAACTGGACGGCGACCATACAGATTATTTTGTCGTAATCTACGTTTAGTTGTATCAACACTACAGTTTATGTCATGAAACTGATGCATAATTGAATTAAGTTCGACAGCAGTCATGCGAGGATTATTCTTGCAATACCTTAATAATATTCTATCAGCCTTTTCAGTTGTAACTTTTAGTCTTCCAGAGCGAGGCTTGCTTTCAATAGTTTTGCGCTGACGAAACCTTTTCATTAAGTGACATATTCCTGGTTTAGAAACATTATAAAGTTCAGAAATCCTTTGATAAGTCATTTTTTTCCTAACGGCTTTTATAATTAATTTCTTTATTTCATCTGAAACTTCCTTAGTCTTTCCCATGCTTTTAAAATTTCAAAATGTAATTGAATTATAAAACTTCTCGAATATTTTCTCAATTAGTTATACTTCATTGCTTTTAAAATATCTCAAGTTAATTTAAATAACAAATTTCAAAAAAAATTTGACCTTTTATTATGCTTTCACTATTCTCAAATTTGTCCAGCACCAGCAGATCGATGGTCAACTCCTGAGAGCACTCAGGAGTTGACCATCGATCAATATAGAAACTTAATAATTTGTGTTTCGGTGGCCAGTACAGAATCATATTTTTCAAATCCACCCAAGGATGCGGTGCAACAGTTTTAACTTCTTGGTTGTTCTCAATAATAACCAGCGCTGACCAATGCAGACTAAAATTTATTTTGGTAAAGAAAAAAAAAACAACATTTGTAAATAAACAAAAACCGGTTTATATTACTTTTATTTTATTAACTATTGTTTTATATAAAAAAGATAGAAAAATATTAGATTATTAAATTAAACAAATAAAAAAGAATAATCCTATTGGTATTATATTCACATTAAATAGCTTTGTTATGAATAGAAATGGGATAATTAATAAACACTCTTTTGAAGTTAACAAACTGTCTGGTCGCATCAGGCTACCAGAAGACAATTTATTTTAAATTGCCTCTTGACTTCATGGTTAATTTCTTAAAACTATCAAGAAGTATTTGTTATAAATTATAAATAATCTAGTATATTTACTTTTCCTAAATTATAATAAATGCTATAAATAAATAGCTTAAAACTTTAACTTGCTTAGCAGTTTTTTTATAATTATTATGAGAGAAATATTAGAATTATCGTTTGATTTTAAGTTTGAATAAAATCAATAAAGTAATAATCTTATAAATAATGATGTAAGATGCATTATCAGTCTCCACTTTAAAAAAACTGTGATATAAATATGTTTTTAATAAAATTTTGATTTTAGCATTATTTAATAATTAAATTGAAAAAGACTGTTATATTC